TAGGAACAAACGATCGATCGGTCCTGTGGGAGCAATGCCCAGTCCTCTGGAAGACGCGTGGTCAATAGTCTAACAGCTAGAGTTACGCCCCCCCCCCAAAAAAAAAAACAAAGAGTGGGGTAGACAACCCACGGAATGGGCCAAGGCTGTAGAGGACGTATGGAAGGGGTTCGAAATCGACGAAGATGAAACGCTGGAAACGGAGGGTCTACAGGGGTGCAAGGAGAAGATATCTGTTGCTTGTGCCGNGTTCAAACGTGATTGCGGCTTCGAATGCGAAGACAGTGTTCATGTGGTCGCGGAAAGTCAGTTGTACGAAGAGGACAGGGAAGTGTACATGACTGAGCTGGGAAAAATACAAGGGAGATACAGGGAGATGTTTGAGGCATGGAATAGAGAGGAGAGGACGGTAGTTGTACTGGGGAGTAGGAAGTGGTTGAAAAGGCGGGAAGGAATACCGTTAGGATAGGTAGACTAGGGAAAATATTTTTGAGCCACCTTTGGCAAAGTTGGAAGGAACGATTGGCCATCGGTGATCAGTCCTTTGGGAACAATGCTCCGTCCTCTCGAGGACGCGTAGTCAATGCTCTAACCGCTAAGGCATGCAAAATGTAAAGAGTAGCCCCCCCTCCCGTCACCAGCTCCACGTCCGTGGCGGGGCTCCCGTTCTTGCCAGTGTATGCGTGGGTGGGGCTGTGGACGTCGGCGTTCTTGGCAACGCTCGCCTTCGTGGAGGCTTCGAACCTGATCGAGTTCGCGACGCAGTTCACCGACGACGTGTTCAACGCTCTTCTCTCGCTCAACTTCATCTACGAGGTGACGATGCCGAAGGGATACTTCAGCTACAGACCGAGAGAGAGAGTAAACACATGTATCAGGATGCTTACTGCGTCAACATTATCTACGAGGTGATGATCCGGAGGGGTACTGATGTAGAGAGAGAGAGAGAGAGACAGAGAGAGAGAGAGAGAGAGAGAGCAAGCATATGTATGAAGATGCTTTTGTGGGGGGGTGGGTAGGGTTGGAGGCTATTGTGTCGGCGCTACATGTTCGTAAACAATTGTACCACGATGTTTGTTTGACGGGTTTTAATGATAGGAAAACGTTATTTCGGTGCTTTGTCTTCGTAAGCATGAGTCCGGGATGTTTTTTTGGGGAAGAGTTTAGTCCGGCGACCCCATTTGAGTGGTTTGTCTGAGAGAAGTGACACCAAGCATGTCCCAAGCACGTGACCGCAGAATGTGGTGTTGGAATGATGAAGCAGCATTTGTGCCCCCAAAGAACGGTATGTGTCGCGCAAGCGCGTGGTCACCATAGTTATTCCCGCCAACTACAACCGTATTTTGCATGGAGGTAGTGAGAGGCAAAACATGGAAAACCACAAAAGTAACGGCGATGAAAATCAAAACAATAAAGGTTAACGATCGTGAGTAGTAGCAGTTCGAAGAGGGTGGTTGCAATATTTTCGAAGCGAGTGGAATGTTGTCGTGCGAGACGGAGCGGAGTGTTGGCGATCACATGGAAGAAGCAAGCAACGAAAGCGCGGAACAAGAGTTCGACAACCCTCTCTCTCGAAGACGAGATACCACAAAACTCTAAATGGGCGAATGGCGTTGACAGGTTGGCGGCTACATGAAACCGTAACCGTGCTGTGCGTCGATTGACGGACATGTGGTCGGATTGAGGTTCTGCGGGCTCCAGCGCTGTCACTCGTGTTTTGTGTTTATTGCTAGGTTCGTTGTGGTGGACACGCATCGTTTCCAAGTTTTGGCTTCACGACCACGACGCTTTCCCCACTGGCAAGAAATCGTCGATATATTTTCACCCTTTGTTTTTTGAACAACGCTCGTCAAGTCAACGATGTCAGAGAGCTGATGATGCGCCCGCTCTTGCCCACAGGCTGCGCGGTCTCTGATGCGGAACTTCAACCCCGCTGCGGCCGGATACACCCAGGCCGGCGCGCTGATGAGCCTGAATGTTGCGGTGGCGACGTACGTGGGATGCCGCAAGACGTCGGGCGCCCTGAGCTCGACATTTTTCAACGGCGGGGTGAGAGCAGGATGATGAGAATCGCTCTGTCGTTTGCGAGGGGGGAGGTGGCTCGGAAGAAAAACGCCGACCAAGGTTGTTGTGATCGATAAACCGGTGGAGTTGAAGTGTGTAGATGGGTGAAATAACGCTGTAGGGTTGAAGTGTAGATGGATGGGAAATGGGTGTCGTGGTTAGTGATGGCTGCGGTGTTGTTTAGGCACTTGACTGCCGTTGTAGTAGAGGTGCATGGCGGTGTTTGTACAAAAGGTCTCGAACCAGCACAACAAATGTCGGGGGCACCACACAAGTACCTAATGGCCTGGGATACAGGTCATTGATGGGCACATTTTTGCGAGCTCTCGGTGTCTACCAGCGTGCACGTCGTGAAGATGCTTATTTTGAGAGGAGTAGAAAATATCTCCAGCTCACCCCCCGCCGCCCCCCCCGCCCTCGCCTTCATTGCTGATTATTCGGGGTGTTCCCCGAAATGCTGTGTTTTTTGTTTTCGTTGCTGTGCTTACGCTAGATTCGCGAGTTCATGTCAGACTTCGGACCTTTGGTGGTGATCGTGGGCATGTCGTGCTTCTGCGCCCTCCCGTCATGGAAGGGTCTGCTGAGCTTCCTCGAGGTGGGTGGATTGTTCCGCAGGTTGTCCCGCAGATATTCCACGGGTTGTTCCTCGGAACGCTGTTGTTCCGCGGGTTGTTCCACAATAGTAGGCGCTTTGGGTTTGACGGAGAACCAGCTGCCCACGGGGTGACCCGCTCACCTTTGTCTGCGTGTGGGTGTGTGTCCATGGTATGATCTTGTCACGGATACGCCTGGGCCGTCTTGTGAGGGAGACGGAGGGTAAGGCCGGTGAGAACATCATACGTACCCGAACTTGACCATCAACGTTTTGTTCGATATGTTCACGCTGGCATTGTGTTGTTTTGTCCCTGAAGTGTTCAGTTTTATTCGGGATGGTACATGTAATCGGCATCATGTTGCGACAATTTGTTCGAGAGCGAGCTTGCAACCGCACCGTTTTGCGACGATTGCGACAACGACAGCATCCTCACTCCGTCTAGTAGGATTCCCTCCCGTCCTCAGTGCGTGCTGCATCGCCTGTGCCTTCGCACTTATCTTGCAATAGGTGCCGAACGCCTTCATGCTGTGTAAGGGCCGTTCTTGGATAGTGCCCATGTTCTCCGTCCCGCCGGTGGTGAGGCTGGCCTGCGCTCTCCCAGCCATGTTGCTCACGGTAAGAGGCCGCCTGCCGCATGCATCTAACCCCCAACCTCCCTCCCCCCCGCCATGCCCAGTATCGACTTTTCACAATGAATTCCTTCAAGATGGTGAATGGTGGAACTGTAGATCTGGCGGTTTACAGAGTACAATGTCAACGGTTCGTTACTAAGAGGTTAGACCGCCGTTTAAGCATCAGCACCCTTCCAGCCACGAAGAAATTCAGCACACAATGTGCACCCGGTCGCCCGTACCCGCCCGGGTCGCCACCGCTCATGGGATTCCTCCGCTCTCGCCTTCCCTACTACTGGTAGCCCTCTTGTCAATCGTGTCGCTGCTTTTGCCACGGTTTCCCTCCGCTCTCAGCGTCACTCCTACTTGCTGGTATCCTTGTCAATCTCATGGCTACTCTGTTACCACCCGCTCATAATGTTCCTCCGCTCCTTCGTTATCCCGCTACTGGTACCCTTCTTTCGTCGCTACTGCGCACCCCCCAGTCTCTCTTTTTCTTGGACCAGAACATCTCGGCTAGGGTGGTGAACTCCCCGCGGCACAAGATGACAAAGGGCGCCGCCTACCACCAGGACATGCTGGTGCTCGGGATAATCACCGGCCTCCTGTCGGTGGTTGGGCTGCCGTGGCAGTGCGCCGCTACCGTGCAGGTTCGTAGGAATTTCTTTTCACGCGCACGAGCGACGGTGTGCCGTTGTACTAGGTGCTGGCTGCCGCGTTTTGGTGTGTACTATTGGCATCGTAAGGTTTTCGGCATGTGGCGTCACGGGGTATTCCGCCTTGCGGGCCGGGTTGTTTTTTTGTTCGCCAAGATAGAAGTCGATGCGGAACATATTATTTTGTTGTGTTTTTATCAGAAACAAGAAGGGAATCGTGGGTTTCCCGCCAATGCCATTGTCACACAAGAAAAAATACGTATCCGCCAAAGCTTGCCTCAGAGCCTGGATTTAGTCTCTGGAGAAGCTATTTTCGCGCCAACGGCGGATGTATGAATGACATCGCATGATTGGGAGAGGACGAGGGCGAGTAGCTGGAGGAGGCCCCACCGCCCGGCATGTCCCACAGTCAAACCCAAATGTTGGTACAAGTGCGCAACCAGCGCAAGGTCACTCTCGAACAGCAGCAGATGGCGAACCCTGGTGTAGCGACGGCGGAGGAACTGTGTAAGAAATGCCAAGCCAACAATCGTGGTCTTTACCGATCGCAAATGACGTGTGCATGTAGTATTTGCCGTAAACGTACGGAGGGCGGCCACCGGATGGCGGCGTGCCCGAACCCGTGGGCGCCGTAAACATAGGCGAACATGGTAACGGTTACTACTCTGTTCGCCTATGTTTACGGCGCCCACGGGTTTGGGAACGCCGCCATCCGGTGGCCGCCCTCCCTACATATACGGCAAATCCTAAATGCGCACGTTANCCGGGGGTTCTCAACATGTGGGTCCTTTTCGCCTCGAGGGACATCCAAGACCCTCACCGCTACGCCATATCTTCGGCTCATACCGCTCTCTGAGTCTTGCAATTGTATTTCTTCGAAGTACATGCTCGCAGGTAGATTTGATGGCGTGTCATCAAGATATACCTTGCGCAACATGTTTTCGGGCGATTTTTCAACACCTCGACGCTGGAAGCAATTGTATTCAAATATTTCGTAGGATAGTAGGATCGCTTATTGGTACCAACACAACTTGATTCCTCTCTATTAATCGCTCAACACCGCCAATCAACTTGCTTCCTCCCTCTGTAAGTCTCTCATCACCGCCAAACAACTTGCTCCCTCTCTTTCGCATGAATCGCTCAACACCGCGAACAANTGTATGAATCGCTCAACACCGCGAACAAACTCTGTTCCTCTCTCAATGAATCGCTCAGCACCGCCAAGCAACTTGCTTCCTTTCTCTGTGAATCGCTCAGCAACACGACACAATCGTGTTTTCTCCCTCAATGAATCGCTCAACACCGCGAACAAACTCTGTTCCTCTCTCAATGAATCGCTCAGCACCGCCAAGCAACTTGCTTCCTTTCTCTGTGAATCGCTCAGCAACACGACACAATCGTGTTTTCTCCCTCAATGAATCGCTCAACACCGCGAACAAACTCTGTTCCTCTCTCAATGAATCGCTCAGCACCGCCAAGCAACTTGCTTCCTTTCTCTGTGAATCGCTCAGCAACACGACACAATCGTGTTTTCTCCCTCAATGAATCGCTCAACACCGCCAAACAGCTTTCCTAAAAAGTCTCAACATCGCCGAACCACGTGTCATCCCTCCCGGTCCAGAGCCTTAACCATGTCCGGCAAATGGCTACCTTCGAGCCGGCGATGTCGGCGGCAGGGGGTCGCTCTGAGACCATCGAATCCATTCACGAGACGAGGCTGACAGGGTTCTGCGTCCACGCCCTCGTGCTGGGCAGCCTGGCGCTGCTGCCGCAGCTTGGGAAGATCCCGATGGCGGTGGTTTCTGGGATTTTCTTGGACCTCGGCCGGAAGGTAGCTGGACATTGCTGTCGTTGTTGCTGGTGGTGGTGGTATATCGACGTCGCTGACCGGCTGACCAATGAAACATAAGGGTCATTTCTTACAGATGGATGCAAGGAAATTATATCTATGTGAGAGAATGGCGCTTGCGTTTCATAAAAGACGTTTAATACACGTATATGGACTTGAAAATACACGGATGCCTCCCGAGACCTACGCGTAACTGTACCCCCTCCCCCCCGGCACACGTCACGACCGGCCGACAGGTGATGAGCGGGACCGCTTTCTTGGTGAGGTGCAAAGAAGTCTTCGTTGACCGGAAGCTGCTGCGGAGCGAGAGCGACATCAAGAAGGTCGGCTTCGGCACCGCAGCCAAATACACCGCCGTCCAGGTACTTGCGATGCGCGACGGTTTTTGTCTTTTTGTTTTGACCCCGTATTTCTTGTTTTCGTCATGCCGCTGCCGTTCTACTACTGTCATTGATTGTTTTTGCTGCTCGCACTTCGGGCCCCTTGACGATGGTGGTCGACCCACTTCTCAGAAAACATGCCCACAAAAACGTGAAACGTCGAGGTTTCCTCTGCAGCCGTACACTGGAAGAAAACTCTGTCGGTCCCGATCAACTCAACCCTGTGTGTTTTGGCTCCGTGCGTCCGCATCCGCGCGGATGGCGACATGGCCGGTACTGGTACCAGGCGGGTATGCTTACCCTCCTGTGGACGCTCAAGTCATTCGAGCGGACGGCGCTGTTCTTCCCGTCTGTGATCGGACTCCTCATCGTCGTCCGCCTCGTGGCGTTGCCTAAGATGTTCACCCCGAAGGTGCGGCAACCATAGCTACCCCCAGCGCTGGATAGTTTGCCCCTCCGTCAGCCCTTTCCATCACGATGAACCGATTTGTTTCTGTTCGTTGCAGCCTTCTCTCGAAAAAGGTTGGACGCCACGCCACGTAACCTGCCATTTGGTGCGGTGCCAAAAAGGTTTCATGTTTTCCTCGGGGAGAAGTGTCTATTTTTCTCTTGGGGCAGTTGTTTGGGCAATCTAGAGTAACGCGAGTTTGCAAGCGGCTCTCGCGAGTGTTGTTCGGACATTGGCGGTGTTGCCTTCTGCACCGTTACTCAACTTATCCGACAGGTAGTTCCGTGTCATTTCACTCCTAGACATTCTCTTGGGGTTGCATTGTGTGACTGCTTCAACGGCTTTCCCGACGTCGAAGACGCCTCTGCCACGTTCTTTTCATCGGTCTGGGAGGCACGACTCTGTCCTGCGTGCCCCCCAACCTTATCTGCTGGCGACGATCGGAACTTTTTGGGAGGGAATGGTTGGGGTCGTTTTCACAGATGACAGCCGAGCCCTACACTGACAACGGATGGCTCTCTGCCGCGCATGCTTATCTGATGCTCTGTACCTCGCGCGTGCTCCCTGTCCACCCGCAATACTCGCAAGGACTTGTCGGAGCTGGATGCCGCAGTGGGATGATCAAGCACAGCGCTCGGCGTCGCGGCAGGGATATGAAAAGCTTGGGGCGCCTCCGTTCTCTTTTCGGTTGTTTGCTCTCTTCGAAATTTCCTGCGTGCCGTAAGATTTCAGCACCTGTCGGAGAGGATGCAAGGCCATTCGTGCATGTTTCAGGGGTGCCGACGAGGCGTGTTTTGCTTACTAGGATGTTGGGATGTAGTCGTGGTTATGCACGACTGTTGTCTGGAGGTAGCATCCTCCCACTCTGGCATCTCTCGGAGGCCTAGACGTAGCCCATTGGGGGGTTCGGTGGAAGTCGGGGGTGGGGCTTTCCGCATTGAGGTGGCCTGATCTGATAGGGATGTGGGGGAGGCAGTTGCTGTTGCGCCTGTATTCGCCGGTGGAAGTCGTTGAGCGAAATGGCTCAGCAACAGCGTGTTGACAATATTTTTTACGCTTTGTATGGAAGATCGACGACAATTTCGCTGGATGTCGAGTAATACTGCGGAGACTGCATCTGGACTTCTGCTGACGGTATTGTAGCGGCATGGCCGTCAGCAACAGCAACAGTTCCATCATGACCGTGCTTCCAGCCGGGCGTACAGCGTGGGCAGGTCGCCATTTTCTTGGTGCCGCCCGTATTTGCTTTGAACTTGCCCGTCTGATGGCGGTGGTTGTAGCTCCCCCCTGCCCGCGAAACAAGCGTAGACAAACGGGGGGAGGAGGGGGGCTCGTTCCTCTTCCGACGTGTCTGCAGCAGCTGGTTCGGTGTTGAGTTCGTCTGCCGAAATAGCTTTGCCGTTTTTTTTTATCCTTGGTCTTTGTGGTGTCCGGCGTTGTTGTTAAGCGAACGGGGGGCGCTGTAACACGTACGGGAATCGCAGTGTAGATGTTGGTGTTGTACGGCAAGATAGAGCAGCGAACGGGTGAGTGAGCTGTTACCACTTTTAGATATTACTTGCAGCAGGGGGGGAGGGCGTGTGCGTAGGCATTTGAATCGAAACGCCGACGTGCAGATCACGAACGAATGCCTCCCACCCCTCTAGCTTGGTAAACGTGCAGCCACCGGTGTTTGTCAATGATGGTATTGCCGCAACATCTCAAGGGTTGTGGTGGTGTTGAGCTGTTTCGTCTGCTGTACTGAGACGGGCCGCCCAGTCGGACAGCGTTGTTTCCTGCGAAAGGTGTTTCCGTCTTGCGGTGAAAAGTGGTACCTTGCACCCACGCGCATCCCCCACTTCTCCGAGATATTTTGAGCGAATTACATCGTCTCGAGTGCGGTTGGTTGCTGTAGTTTTTAGTTTTAATTTTTTTCAAAATTGCTTGCTGTGAGTATAGCTAGTCTACGCGGGTACTTTAACGCATGTCCTTTCATGTTGAAAACGAACGGCGTGTCGCTGTGTTTCCTCCGAGAAAGTGCAATGCGCTTTGCGCAGCCGCGCGCAATACGCCCACATTCAAGAACGTTGATATGTGCTAATGAATGCGGGTGACTAATTGTAGTTCATGCGTGAATTTTATCGTTACCGTTGTTGTTCGCTCATGTATATCCTTGCAATTCAGATATGCAACTTTTTTCTTTATTTCTCCTTTCTTCCCGGCGTTGGTGTCTCACTCGCTTGCTTTGGCGGCCATCCCTCCCGTGGGCCTGTTCACCGCGTTTCTTTCACACGAAAGGGTGTGCCTTCCGACCTTGCGTTTTTGATAACCTTTGAAGGAGGGGTGCGAAGTGGAGAAAGAGTGCCGTTTAGGAGGGCGGGTAATCTTTTGTGACCATACTTTTCTATTGAAGGATGCAGATTTCTTCTTTTATGTGGTTTCCTGACTATCATCGTAGTAGGTGACATGCTACGAGCTGAAACAGCCATGCGTTTTGCTCAACGTGAGACGTTAAAGAGAAGTTCATAACGGAGGAGGGTCGACTATCGAAGTGCTATGCCAGGTGTATAGAAGTGGGCAAGCACCGCCTCGAAGAGTTCGAGAATCAACACGATGAACGTTCGCTGTACACCCGTTATTCCGCAAGAATGAAGCCTCCAACAAGCGTTGTCCTTTCTCGCTCGATCGTTTTGCTCCTTGAAGCCCTCGCCGTTTTGACTCATGATGTCTCGCGATGATGTCTCGCGATATCCTTCACGTGAGTGAGAGCAAGCTCACCCAGGCAAACTTCAGTGAGTAAGGGTGGCGGCCTTAGAGGTTCTGCCATCATGTGCAACCCAAGAGGCCAAAGCACGCTGCCGTTTGCTCCCACTCAAGATTTGTCGGAGATGTACTTTTTGATGCTCCACATCGAAGAGTAAAGATGAAAACTATTGTGTTGGAAATTACGGTTGCTCACCATGCACGCGTCGCTGCACACGGGAGCAAAGCGTGTTTGCGAGCGCTGCAGCAGCTGGCGTGCTATGCTGCTTTTTTCGGCTGTCTGGCGTACGTATAGTCTACTACATGGAAGATCGGTCCATTGGTGCTTCGTTTTCCGTTGTTGTATTCACCCGCGAAATGTTTCCCATATAGACTACACTACGCTCGTCACTCGATACTCCTTCATGATAATACCGTTTGGCTTGGAGCTTTGTGTGACGAAGGCTAGTAGTCTACTAGTAGGACCAGGCAGATCATCAAGCCCACTCTCTGCGCGCCGGCTGGTGCAGGCAGCAAACTTTACGCATGCTTGTGTGGGGTGCGCTCTCTGCTCTGCCTGCAACTGACGAATCGGGAAGATCCAGCCTATTGGCCGGGCCGAAATTACTGCAGTGGCATTCCACATGACACAGCGCCCGAACAGCGATGCTTGATACAACCGAAGATCGTATCTCTGCATACTACACCAGGACGGGACCTACAGACCCTCTAGTAACCCATTCGCGCCAATGGTCAGCTATGTCGGGCCCACTAGTGCACGCATAGTGCCTACTGCTGTACCAAAGCACTCCGTGGAAATTCACAAAAACCATCGCGATTTCGTGACGGTCTCGGGACTGTCAGGTTCGCCCCTTCTTCGGCCTGCCACCCGCCGCCCACAACCCACAGCAGACAGCAGCGACACGGCAAGCCCTTGCGTCGACGTGTAGGTTCCTGTAGTCCGCAAGGAAATGCACCNGTGTTGTCCGCAAGAAAATGCACCGAATACGAATGTACGTGACATAAGAATGTGAGACGTTTTCGTGTGAACAATTGCGCAACCCGCCAGCACGCACGACCGTCGAATACTGGATGGATACAGTACAGGATTCACGATAGGAGCCAGCAATTTTCCCCGAAATTCTCAGTCCGAAATTCTGATGGTGTGACAGAGCCCTTCCAACATGTCGAGATGCTTGCTGATACCCCCCAAGTTCGCATCTCTGTATGCCACACCAGAACGGGACCTACAGCAGACCCAAACTGTCCCCATTCGTCCCAATGGCCAGCTATGTCGGACCCATTCGTGCACGCATGGGGCCTACTGCTGTCCTGCAAGCACTCGTGTGGAAATCCACAAAACCGCTCTTGGTGTGACCTGCTCGGGACTGTCAGGTTCGCCAACTCATCGACCGTCAAGAGAGTGCAACCCGCCGCCCACAGACATGTGACACGGGAAGCCCTTGCGTTGACCNTTGCCGTCTCGCCCATCAGCTCACACTCTGCTACTTCTCGCCCTGTCTGCACTCCCGAGCAGCTCAAGATCCCCTGAGGCCCCCAAG